CTCAGAAAATAAAATAACTGAATGAACAAATAGAGAAATGGTATAAAAACAAAACAACGATGAAGTTATCACAAGAGGGCATCTCTCTGTTCCGCTGCCTCTGGACCTGTGTTGCTCAACTCCACTCCTCGCCAATTCCCCTTCCACCCAACCACGAGTCGTCGGCTGTGCTTCGTCTTTACCAATATTTTCTCTTCATTGGCAAATTAAGCCGCTGCACTTACCCCCAAGCACCCGATGGTTGGATAATCACGGAAAGCCCGAGGACTGAAACTGAGAAGGACTCTTACGGACTGCAAGCCCGGCACACTTCTGTGATATTATCCCTGCATTGTACGCGAGCTACAGAGTCGCAGGAAGTTGCCACCGTGCAACGAATCGCACACTGGACTTGCAACTCAGAGGTCGCTGGTCCCATTCGATTTTCCCAGAGCAGAAGTTGAAACAATGGAGCAGCTATTTTTTGTTGTTGTTTTTGTTTCATTCTCCCACCCGTGTCCACCCAGCAGTATAAATGGGCCCACCACAGTTAGTCGATCGGCAGGACGTGTGTGGTGGGGTAAAGTGTGGGTACATCCACCTCTTCCGAGATGTCTGGCCAAGCATTAAAAGGGTATGCAACATACCCCCTAGGAGGGCTCCCTAGAGCTCCCTCTAGCTGAGACCCTTCCATCAGCAGTGGCGTGAGAAAGCCATTGCAGGGCTGCGCCATTATTCCTCCTACACATTCACTCTTGCGCCACGCATTCAACGCGGTGGCTCTCACGTTATTATTTGACTGACATTTTTTGAACAAAAAAATTCTGCCAGATATGAACAACGATTTTTTTTAACGTCTACAACGATGCAAATTTTTCTTTCATGACTTAAAATTGGAGGGGGTTTTTTTTCTCAGTATTTTTCCATAGAAAATAGAGCTATCACCCTAGTTAAAATAAAGGTCATGTATGCATTATATATATTTTAAACCAATTCAAGAGTGCACTCTATAATCCCCGGCAACATGACACCCACGATCTTAAGGAGCGATCCTTTCTTCGTCGGAATATTTGGACGTTCAACGCCGTGAATGAGAGAGGGTTGCGCACAACAGCTTATTTACAAATTAATATTTTTTTTGACATCGTCTCTCGCCCACATAGACCCTAATCTGCTTAGCGCGGTGTTAGACTGTACACGAGTCTATTAAATTGGTTCAATTTAATTAGACGTTCTCTCGAAATAACCTTGCACGCCGCGTCTATACATTACCGGATCTCTGTATTTTTTGGTGACGACGGCTTTATCGCGGTGCGCTCGAGAGGAGCGGAGATAGATACAGCCAAAGGCGTTCGCTTTAATGATAAGAACGATGCCTTTACATTGATACAAAGTGCTCCTTTACGTGGCCTCATTAATGCATCCGATGAAATATTTGGCTGCTGCAGATCAGGCCTTGAGTGTTCAAAAAAAATTACGGTACCGTGTTCAATTTGAAACGTGGCAACAGATCTCTTCGGGGTTTTTTTTGTTGTCGCGCATTTTTCAAATGTTGCCGTTTTTAAAACGTTTAACAACTTGCATCTTGGCAGACCCCACACTAAGCCGAGAGCGCCTCCTACTGAACGGAAATTCATCCACTGGTGGTGAGTTGCAGCCATTCGTGGCAACCCGTGGGAAGAAACCAACGCTGTTCAAGAGATATCTTGTTCGGGAAAACCCCAGGAAGGCCTGTGACATTATACAAAAAAACAGAGATCGGATTTCCACTGGACACACGCCAGAGATATTCGTCCGTAGAAATACGACGATTTTAAAAGTAAACAAACAAGGGCCTCTCTCGTATGCAGTCACAATGTGGTCTGTTACCAACAATAATCCCGACCGTGCAATGATTTCCCATTGCGTTATACTGCCGCTTACCGGCGAAGGGTGAGAAATGCGTGAGAAGTCTCTCCAACGACCTCGCTCCCTCCTCGCACCAACCATGTCGTGGGGCATTTTGCACGCGGCTGTTGGCTTTGAGCCGAGATGCAAAAACAATCCAAGATGTTGCCCGTGTTACTCAGGACACAAGTGCAGTGAGCATATGGATATCAGTAGGAAAGGACACGTGCAAATTTGAATTCTTCCCAAGTGCCCTGTCTTTGTAGGCCTTATTAGGGGGAGTGGTGGCGCAGTAATTAGCGTGCTGCACCATCAACCCGGCAAGCAGAGTTTGATTCCCGGCCACGGATAACATCGCTGGTGACGATATCTGATCCAGTCCTTCCCTTCACAGCCCCAGCCTCTCGATCAACTTCACCGACCCACGCCGAGCAGTTAGCAAGTACGGTCCCACACCACCCCCACCCCTCCCCCACGATTCACAATAGACCTCCGTCCAGCAGTGGATTTACAAAGGGTTGTACATCCTCAACAAAGACGTTAATTAAACAACAGAAATAAGGAGGGCTGCCCGATGAGTGATTTGACACCGCACGGGATATTCATTCATAAAACGCGGACCGACACTGCAAATGGGGTAGATGTGGCTCAATGGAATTGCGCCGTAACGAGTGGTGTCACCAGGGGGTGGGGGCATTTAAGGGAGTTAAGGCCCCCAAACTTGATTCTGACATCTATTCTCATCACAACAGCGGGTGGACCTCAGCACGCGTAGGCCAGCGAGCACAACAATTATTGGCACTTTATATTAAACACTCAATTTCCCAACGCTGGTCGACGATTGTGAGTGCATTAAAATACAACAACTCAGCAATTGACTGCATCGGTGCACACCCGAGGAATATGTTACGTTACAACAAAGAACACAAGAGCAGAATATGTGCATCTAGGTTCACGGATGCCGGGGGTCAGAGTGGAATCAACATTCTTGTGAAATCAAGAGGTGGACAAAGGCAGGTTTGGAGTGCTGTTCGAAAACTGAACTTGCCAAAGAAAACATTTCACGTCACCCCTCCTCCCCCCCCCCACTTATATTACAACAACAAATATATATCGGGGCCTCACAATGTGTGTCATTTCATGGAACAAAACACACGCGCGCACGCACGCACGCATCGAGAAATTCCCAGCAACTGTACGCGCCCACCTGTGGACTTGGTGGCAGTGAATGTACGCGGCAGGCTCATGCCCTGCTCGTACGCATCCGGTGCAGGCACACACCACTCGGTGGGTTGCTCAGGCGTATCTGCACCCAAAAATAAAATGTGACCAAAACCACAACCGCCAACACACACACGCACACATACAGTTACACGCACCATTCTTATTCAACAGTTGCACGGTTTTAATTTTTTTCCTGGACGGCTTCATAGCAACGCCCTTGCAAACGAGAACATCTTGGGAATGAAGCCACGTGTGTGTGTGTGTGCCAACGTTTAAGTGGGGAGCAGTAGTGTAGCAGTTAGCGCTACGCTGCGCTACTAACATTGCTGACCCGGGTTCGATTCCCGCTCACGGCCAACACCAAGTGACGATTATCTGAATCGGTCCTGGGCCTCCCTCGAGGTCGACTCAGCCTCAAATAAGTACCTGGTGCTATGTGTGAGCATCGCCACTCGGGAGACAAAGGCGGCCGGGCGTGGTGTTGGCCGGCCTTCATAGGTGCTCGCTAACAGCACTTGCCCCAACAGCCTGTTAAGGCTACACGGGGAATCTTTGTTCGAGCTTCAGACCCGAGGTTTTGTTGACAATACAGTCAACAGTCACGACCATAAATCAATTGGGAGATCCATAGTCTACCATAGAACTATACAGAATGTGCATGCATTTAATGTCTATGTATTTATTTTACACACATATATATATACTGCACGCATGGTTAAAAAATGTTTACCTCTGAGTTACAGCCGTAGCCAACGAAACAGTCTGGAAATGGATTGAAAACAAGAGTCGGTCGAATCGTTCCTGAAACCGAGAGGAGGGAGAATATGTCCGTGTGTGCTGCTGTGGGAATTGGAAGAGTAGTGGTCAACGCGCTGCCGCCGCTACGACCCCAGCGAAACGAGTTCGACCACCCGCTCACAACCAACATAGGTGACGAGTTTCTGAGCCGGTCCTGGGCCTCCCCTAGGTTGACTCAGCCTTAAAAATGAGCCCACTCGCTGCGGTGTGTAAACGTCGTCGGGGAATAGACAAGCGCGTCTGTGCGTGATGCTGGCTGGCACGGAGGCCGTGTGGGCCTTCACACGCGTGCCCGCTGACAACACTTGCCCTAAGAGTCTGTTAAAGGCTGTACGGAGGGTCTTTGTGTGTAAGATAAAACAGTGTCGCAGCCGAGTTCCTACTGCGGTCTACGAAACAGTATATAAACGGCTTTGCCCTAATGTCATGGGGCATGTTTTTTTGCGCGTAAAGAGCTCACTAATTGGAAATTGGGGCATTACTGTTCAGCAAATGTTCAGCTTTGAGTCCGCAATGAAAAAAATCTGCCATCTCGGGAGACAATTTTAAAACCGTTAAAAGAGAGATGAGACGTTATTAGGGGTAATGTGTGTACCGAATTAGAGAGCGCTGATAAGTGCGGGTGACTTGATTATGAGTTTATGACATTTAATGGTAATTATCCTAATTTTGAGAAGAAAAAAAACCCTGTACATAATACCTTGATTCAAAGCACCTGCAGAGCAGGCTGAGGTATCTTTGGAACTAATTACACAGCCTCTCCCGCATGCCACCCTTCCAGCAATTATTACACGGCAGGATATATCGTCAGTAAAATAAAATGAAGTTATGTTGTCATTTGAGGTGGAAATTATTATAATTTTTTTCATCTAATTCATTCCAATTAGCGAAGGTTCGTGATAATGTAGGCCAAATATATATGAGTTGTTTGTCAATTTTCATCCGCAGAAATCACTTGCTGTTGTTAAGTGTACTTTGTTAATAACAAAAGAACCCGCACGTGGGGTGTTTGTGGTTTTGTGAGGCTGACGAAAGCGGGGCAGGAAGGAAGTCTGCACCCGGGTTAAATATCGACACGAGAGAGCGGCTTGCAGCGAAGGGGGTTTGGCATTTTGAATTCCACCAAAATTCGTTCTGAGATCGACTCCCTGAGCGGATATTGAAGAGACATGACTTATTGACCAAAGTTGATGGGTTTGTTTCCTCAAAAAAATATACAGTAGCATACAAACTTTTTGTTGTTGTTGTTTATATAGTTAGCTGTGTTTTTGAATTGTAATATTTTATTTTATACCTCTGACATGAGCGACAGCTTCGAAGACAACTTTTTGAATTTGCTCTTTGAGCAATCGGTGGTGAATCGGTCAGCTGAGTCCACGCAAGGTGAGTGGAACGCTTCATTTTATATTCGTGACGTTAACATCTTTGTAAAAAAAAAAAATAACCGATGCCTTGACATTCCTATTGACAGCGGTAATGGGAGACGATATGCCAGCTCCGAGCTACCAAATTAAGAGAAGCTTCCCCCAGTCGGCGCACACAACCTTTGCTTAATTTTCGCGCCACAAACGTTGCAAATTCGTGAATTGGTGCGATAAAATTGACAGCGGTGGACCCCGCTCCTGGGACACTTTCTCTCGCGGCGATGACATAAGACAATTGACATTTTTTTTTTCAGTGCCTCATTTAGATGTTTTGGTTGCTCACGCAGCGCGCAGAATATACGCATTTTTTCGTCTTCCTCCCTTAAACAACAGCAACTCTCCTCTCTCGCGAGACACCCGCGACCACTGCTAGTTCGCACGCCGCGCACGCCGTGGCCACTGCCCCGCGTGTACCCCCTGTGCCCCCCCGTGCCCCCCCCCCTGTGCCCCCCCCGTGCCCCTCGTGCCCCTCGTGCCCCCCGTGCCGTCGCGCAAAAAACTTCGCCCGCTCCGCCGATCGGCGCCGCGCGGTTTGGCCGGAGCGCGTTGAGCCCCACGGCCATCTGCGCCTCGCGCGTTCTGCCTCCGTGCAAAGGCAACGCTCGCGGTTGAGGACGAGGGAGGAGGAGGAGAGAAGGAGATGGTGGCTGTTAAACAAACACTGCCATTGTCCATACAGCTTGCACGCCCGCTCTCTCGTGGTCGCGCCGTTACCAGCCGTCGGGAGTTGCTTTCTGGTTGTGCCGCGTGCTGCTCGGGGTGAGCTTCGTACGCACGTGTCGCTCCCACGTGCTGGGACGCCCCTTGAGGAAGCGAAATTGGAGAAGCTCCCAGCGCCCGGAGCGAAACGTCGTAACATCACGCCGAAGAGCGCACAGTGTAACCCCAAAAGTCTCCAGCCATGGTGCCATTAATCGGCAGCAACGTCCATCAGGCGACTTGCGTCAATGTCTCCGGAACTGCGACTCCCTGCTGTTGCTACAACTGCGCAGGAGTGAAAGAACGGCGGTGCCTGTCCATATCACTCCGTTGACCGATCAATTCAAGAACAGCTTAGATATCCTAACGTTTTCAAGTTAGCTAAGACAATTGTGGGAAGAAGCAGATGGGTTACAGAATTTTAAAATTGTTATATTGTATGCACTTGGATGTTGAACTTTAATTTGTTTTTTCTAGATCTGTGGATATTTGGGAAACATGCTCAACCATTTTGGCTTGCACTGCTATATGTATTGGAATGCGAAGTTGCGGTAAAAGTATTACGTTACAATGATGATGAATACAATTGCAGGCAGTGGTTGAGTGAAAATGTGCACGTCTCTAGTAAGGAGACTGAGTGTGCCTTTGAGCGAGAACCATTCATTTCTTCGGGTTCGCCTGTGTATTTCAATCACGTGGAGTTTTGCTTGAGTCAGAGTCGCGGGCACAATGGGATCAGTGAACGCATTAGGGGTACGTCCGACTTCCACTTTCTCAGCTTGCGAGGTTTTTTTGTATTCGACTGTAACTGCTAATCGCTTTCACTCGTAATATCAATTTCCTCTTGGTAAAGTCACATTTAGACGCTTCCTGTTTCTAGTTCACAACTACCTCAATGCTTTCAATGGGATCCTATGCCATAACCATTTGGATAAAATAATGAGTTGGGGGGGGGGGTCCAATCTGTTTGAAATATTAAACTCACTGTCTTCTTTCTCTCGTATGGAATTTGAGCGGGCAAGCCATCGTCACGACATTAGGGGCCACCTGATGTTCACCACCGCAATACGTGTATTTAATATACTGCACGCAATTCAAGTCTGGGTGAACGTGTGGCAGTATCTGTCACCGAACCATCATCATCATAATAATCAATAATAATAATGACCATGATCAAAATAATAGTGCAATTTGTAATGTGCAACAATTTCGCGAAACAGAGAGTCACTGCGTGATCGCAAACTTCTCGGGAGGCGCGGGGAACAGGCTGCCGAATAAGTGCGGCCACTTCAGAGGGCTCCTAAACGTAGACGTTGGGAGTTGTGGAATACTTCGTACGTGGGGCGGCACAAAGTTCCAAATGACCGGAGCAGGCCAGGGAGAATCTCCGCTCGGCCAGGTCGATCGACAGAGACGATCTGTTGGATTGGGCTTTGCGTAATGCTGCGTTTAGCAGGAATCTACGGGAGTAAACGAGGAAATAACATCATCATAATGGCATTGATGACGATAGCAGAGACATTTCAGGCATATTTAAGGGACTGCATTTTCAATGGTGAACGGACATTCACCATTGCTAATCCACTGCTGGATGAGGGCCTCGCACCGTGCTGTTTGTGGGGATAATTTGACCATACCTCACCGTGCTGTTTGTGGGGATAATTTGACCATACCTCACCGTGCTGGTCAGTGCAGGTTGTTAATGGAGATGGATCTCCCACCACTTTTCTCAGTTGTCCAGCTTGTAGCTCCACAGCTTTTAATAACCGGCCATGCATGGTGAGCAATCATACAAACACGATCCAGGATCTTAGCTTCCAAGATATGAGATCAGATGCATCTGGGAGATTTTATCAAAGGCACGTTGAAAAAGCAAACATTAAATCAACATGAACTCACAACCTTTGCCGTTAATATTGCCTCATTATAGACAATATACCTTTGGCTGATGTTTAGGGCAGTGTCCATTAAACGGCGTAGAAAGAGAGGGCAGAAGAATCACACCTTCACACCGCTGACTTCAAGAACTGTTGATTATTTTGGTGGCTTATGATTTTCCACGACATTTCCAATGATTCAATACATGTAAAGTGCAATCTATGAAAATAACTTCGTAAATCTCTCTGCCCAAAACCATGAATCCATTTTTTTTTGTGACACAAAGCCACCCCAGAAGGTCCGCCAGAAATATGATGAACAGCTTAAAACTCAAGAGCAGTCACGTGGGGCTTGGGTAGAAGACGTCGCTGGGGGAGATGATAACCGATGGTCAAAAATAAAGATGGATTGGCAGCTAATCAATGAAATGTGTCCCAGAGGATGTCCGTTGGGGAGATGAAGCGAGGGGATCAGTTCATGTGCAGGTGCTATCGGTATTATATCCTCGCCCAATCGTGAGAAAATGGTGATGATGGTTTTGAGAGGCCTTCATCCGGCAGCAAACGGATAATCGCTGACAAATGACGAATTGCTGTGGCAATGATTTCTCATAATCCATACAGTTGTGACGGCTGGCATTTTTGTTGTTGTTGTTGTTGTCGTTGTTGTCGTGTCAGATGTAAACTTCTCGGCAGGATATTTCACAGCTCAGCACGACTGCAGCCAAGCCGCCTTCGGTCCCGGCTACCTCATGGCCGGTGGCCACAGAGCCGCGGCGGGAGGGAACGGGAGCGGCGCTCCGTACCCCTCCCCGTTCAGCTACGACGCCGGCGGCGGCGGCCTCTTCAAGTGCCCCAAAATCCACATCACGCCCGGCGAGCAGGTGGACCCTACGGTCCTGGCCTACGACTCGTCGTTCCTGTCCCACCGGGACTCCCCGCACAGCCTGAGCCCGACGCGCAGCCTCTCCCCGCACAGCTGCCACTCGGACAGCTCCCAGGGGGGCGATCGATACGTCCACGAGGTGGACGACGTCGAGCAGGAGATCGTGCCCAGCACCGAGAGGATCAACCTGCTCCCCTCGCCCTGCGGCAACGAGGGCGGCTGCCCGCCGGAGGCGCGCCACACGCGGCCAGGGTCGCCGTGCAAGAGGCGCTACCCCGAGTCGATGGAGCGCGACGAACGGGAAGACGGAGACGGCGTCGGTGGCGACTTGGCGATGGCGTTCGCCGTGGATCGCCACCACTACCAGCAGCAGCAGCAGCTGCAGCAGCAGCAGCAGCACCCTCACCACCACCACCCTCACTACCAGCACCTATACCACTACCAGCAGCAGCAGCAGCAACAGCAGCAGCAGCACCACGCGCGCTCACGATCGTTGTCCCCCAAGCGCACGCAGGGACTGGCCCCGGGCCTCGGGTGCCCCTACAGCCTCACGCGCAGCACGGAGCTGCTGCACCACGCGTCGTCCTACGAGCACGACGGCAGTGGCCACGACTCCCCGAGGGCCAGGAAGGAGGCTCGGCCCTCTGTGGGAGGGCGTCACTACGACTCGTTGCTCTACCAGTACCACGGGCTCGACAATTACCGCCTCGCGGTGCCGCCCGTCGTCAGCATGCAGCCGGCAGATATGTGCACCCACAGCCCCTTCCTTAGGTACGGACCCCACTCCCCCCCCCCCCCACCAGCCGGTGACCTCGACGTTTTATCTTCGCTGAATGTGTACGTAGCCAACCGCGCTAATCGGAGGTACGCAGAGAGATCACCTGTCCGAGGAGTACGGATTTGTACGTATGTGTGTGTGTTGAATTTCTTTCGCACCGTACGTAGCCAACAACGATAATCGGAGTTGTGGAGGAAGGATAAACAAATGAAAAACAAGGAGCAGTTCTAAAGAAATGTGTTTAAAATCTAGATGAAGGTAAAAGTGCAGCCCCGCTCACACCACTGCTGGCTGAAGGGTCTCCACTCGAAGAAGCTTCAGAGAGCCCCTCTTGTCTACAGGGTTTGATATCCGACTATTTTTTGATAGAGTCGTATTGATGGCTTGTACATTTTTATTTTAAACGATTGGCTGTTTTCTCCCGGGCATTAGCAACTCATTTAAGTGGTTGTTTTCCCCCACAACTGTTTTTTTATTTTAGAGTGCTCAACAATTGAGTGAGCCGTTTCAAAAGGTACACAAACTGAAAGCGCGTTCACAGCCACGTTAGTGTAGGGTTATTTGTAGTTTGAGCATGGCACACCATAGCACATAATACAAACAAATGTCCGTATAGCCATTTGTTGTTGTTGGTGACGTCACCACGGCGCTCGTGCCATGCTAGGTGCACTGAGGCCACGTGATGTGTCCAAGTCCCGCTGGCAGGAGGTCGCCGAACAGACCCGGGTGCCGTGGGTTGACTGAGATACAAAGGCAAAGATCACCCGCATGGCCTTAACAGGCTGTTGGGGCAAGTGCTGTGAGCGAACACCTGACTGGCAGATGCACCAGCTGCGCTCCCCGCTGTGCCCAAACCACGGCACCGGATGCTGCAACGCACACAGCCGTGCAGATTGTAAACATTTATTACTCTAGGAACTTAACCTTCCGGAAAACAGTACATTACATAGAGTAGTGTTTTGCTTTTATTTATTTTTCCAAAAGACTTGTCAACATGGTACATGTGCATATATTATAATCACAGTATAATTACAGTTCAATCCAGTTATAATAAACTTTAAGAGCAATTCGTTATTTCAATGAAGCCAATTATGTAAATTATGTATTTTCATTGCATTTAAATTAAGCCATTATGAACACAACATGAATTTCGTTATAACGAGGTCATTTAAATGAGATGCTACCGCTCGCATATACAACGCGCAGCTCTTCCATCAATCCACTGCTGGATGAGGTCCTTCCCATGCCGTGCGAGCCGTGGGTGTTAATTGACCATACTTCAGCACGCTGGTCAGCGTGTGTCGGTGAAGACAGGGGTCATGGATATAGCAGAATACAATTGCAAAAAAGAAGCAGTTGATATGATGCAACAGCCCTTAGCTGGACACAACATCGCCCTGCAGCCCGATAGCAACCTGCTTGTGCGTGGGTGTGCGTGTGGACATAGCTGCAGGAACCTACCCACCCCCACCTCTGTGCCACTGAATGTGGGACTTTTACAATTCGACTGAAACTGCTCCGGAGTGAGTAATCCGCCACCAGCGGTTGGCCCTGCGTTCATCTCGGGAGGCATCACACCGCATTGACATGTTCATGCGTCGGGCCCCCGCTGATGTACACATTATTATTGTGATGTACACATTATTATTATTATTACAATAATATCACAAATTCCCTCGAGATGAAACGTCTCGCTTGCAAGGGGGCACCGGCTGTCAGCTGACACGTACGCATTCAAACATTTTTAATTCCTCCACTTGATGACAACTAAAGGATTGCAATGGATTTATTTTTTATTGTGACGTAAATAGACATTTGATGCGTATAAATAGATCGGTGGTACAGCGGTTAACAATGCACTCTATGGACCCGGTGACCCTGAGATACATTCCTGGACACGGCTAACATTAGCGGTGAGACGCATCTAGGCCAGTCTTTAGGCACTAGAGCTGAACGATTTGGGGAAAAAAATCTAATTGCGATTTTTCTGACAGATATTGCGATTTGATTTGTCAAGCTTCAGTTCAATATTCACTGTGCAATAGATTTCAAACATGTGATGGAGCATTACCACATGATACCATCAAAATATTAACTGCTCTCTATATTCTAATGCAAGGATGAGAACTTAAAATACATGAATTGATTTCAACATGTATTTATTAAAATGTTTTCATTGAAATATAACAATCAGACATAAAACAATTGTTAAGTTAAATAAATAAAGTTATAATAAAAAAAACTATTCCAATAAGAAAGTAAGAGGGCTTTTCAAGTCGCGAAAAATCGCAGCTTTTGCGATTTGCTAATCGCATTGTTTCAAATTGCGATTTCGATTTGAAATCGATTAATCGTTCAGCCCTATTAGGCACCCCCTTCACCAACCCGCACTGACCAGCGCAGTGAAGTATGGTCAAACCAACCCCGATCACCAACACGGTATGGGGAGGCCTTCATCCAGTAATGTATTGACAAAGGGCTGCTAATCGTATTATTTTACTACTGTACTCTTTGTTTCTGTGAACATTAAAAAAATGGTGAATCAACCATTAGGATTTAGTGCACATTCCTGCTTAATCTAGTATGAAGTCCCCTTTTCAGCCCTTAATTCCATTTCATGAGCACGTTCATTAATTCAATCCACAGATAAATTGGCATTCAAAACCCACATCATTTTCTGGACTGTGATCTTCAGCAAACAATATCCTCGGCTGAATTGTGTACGTACGAAATTGATCATGGGCTGGATACAGTTTCGTTTTTTTCATTCAAATTTAAAGGGAATGGTGCACGTGAAATCCCCACCAATTACAGACTATGCTGCCAGAATTGAGTGCAGAAATGCTGCAAGGTGGATCGTCAGTACTGAAACCCAGCTGAATGAGCTATATGACAGATAAAGACAGCGTTTATTACAATGCATTATGGAATGTGTATATAATAATTACATTACATCTACTGATATTCAACTCTAAGTCATTCGGACACAATCATCATCATCTTTCACATCCCTCTATACATTGCAACATCTACATGTATATCGTGAATATAACGGATCATCATCATCATCAGCAGCAGCAGCAGCAGCAGCATCCATGTATTTCCTTCATCATCATCATCTATTATTATTATCATCATCACCATCATAGTCTTGCAAATGTGTACATCATCATCATCCATGCACAAGCGGGTATTGTGTCATCCGCATATATAACTTCATCATTACACACCAAATATTATGACCATCATCACCATCATCATAATCAGAGACCCATTTCCCCGAGTCTAAGCAAGCGCCAACGCTGCTGCTGCTGCCGCCACCGCTGACAGCGCGTGCCCGCTGTGCCCCAGCAGGAGCGACGTGTACCCGCCGCTCGACTGGCCCCTACCGAGCCAGTCGGGCTCCTACGACCTCCGTCTGGAGTCCCAGCCGCGTTCTCACCACAGGGCCCACTACGAGACGGAGGGCAGCCGCGGGGCCGTCAAGGCCCAGGAGGGCAGCCACATCAGGGTCAAGGTACGCGCACGGGCACACCCGCGACTCGACTCGCAGCCCTGGCGGGGGCGGAGCGAAGTTGGCACGGGCTCTGACACAGTCTGTTGTCTTGTCACGCGAATTGGATGTAACGTGATGTATTAGGGAACACGTCTTTTTTTATAACGCGGATGCGAATTGGATACACCGCGATGGAGCGAACGGAACTGCGTGGCGGGATGCTGCTGGATGCTTCTAGTTACAACCCACGCGCCTCAGTTTTTGTTCAGCCTGAGTAAGCATCTCACGTGTCATCGTGGACTGTGCTTTACCCCTATGTTATACATTATGTATTCTAAGGCCATTTTTCCATAATGTGGTGTTCTTAAGGAACGCAACTACCGCGTTATGAGACAACAGACTGTACTCAATATATTTCTTTGTCTGGGTCGCTGGTAGGCGAGAGTTGGTGGCAAGTGAACTGGTAGCCACATCCAGAGCGATGGGGTATAGGAGGTGTGGCGCGCCGGGTCGCGTAGATGTTTTTAGAGTCATTGATTTGGACAGGCCCGGCTGAATTTAAACCATAAGGTATGCACCATGCTCATAGCCCTAGCAATAACGTGTTAGGAAACCACCGGAGCATTAGGAAGCCACTGGAGCTATGCACTTTTAATTCTAAATTCAAAACTCATTTCTTCAGAACTGCTTTTGTGTTTAGCTTGTTGTCCTTTCCCCGCACCTCCGATTTGCACGATTGGCTAAGTACAGTTGTGAAAGAAGTTTAACATACACGCGCCATTTTCAATTCAACAACAATGGTGGGCATGAGAATTGGTCTAATGAGTGAAATGGGGCCTCCATGTCTAATTTCCCCAAATTTTTGTAGCCCAGTGCCTGGGCAACCTCTGGTTTTTTTCATCGCCTGCACACTCGGTAGCATCACCACTGTGCCCGAGTATCAGTGCCTAATTTCAGAAAACGTTTCCACACCCGGCAAGACCGGATCCAGGATAACCTTCGCCTCGGATGCGGCTACCAAGTCACATGCCGACACGCCAGTCTACTGGGTACCTGGGACAATATTCAGCGAAATGAAACGAAGCCCTGCAGAGCATGGCACCACAGCAGACTTAACAGCGTGCTATTCGAAGAGCTCGCTACGTGCGCTCAGTGCGCGTTCGTGACGGACTGGACTCGGAAGGTTTGCGCGACACCAAAATGTTCATGCTTGGGGACAAAGAGAAGAAACCGTTTCGGCAGGTGACTTTCACCTGGGTATAAAACGACGCGGCGGGGGGCTGCGGGTCAGGCGCGCAGCGGAAGGGCGCGGGCGAACGCACACGCCCAGCTTGTCGCGGTTAAGTAGTTTTCCTTGTATTTTGGAAACTGTGGGTGGATGGGTTAAGAGGAGAAAGATGTTTCGCTGTTTGAAAAGCAACGCGTGGCGCCTGCTGCCTTCCTCTTTTACGAGCAAAAGCAGATGGGGGGGGGGGAGTTTGTGGGAGAACAGCTGGGACACACGTGGAGAACAGAAGAGGTGGAGTACAGAACACACGGGCGGCAGGATGCGACGACCACCCCCCTGCTGTGGCCAGGCCCACAATGGCGGCTGCACGTGTCCTCCTGTGGAGCCGTCGCTACTAAACGCTGGCCAATAGGCAATAATGAGCGTGATTGTGATGTCGGGAGGGGGGGGGCGTAAATCTCACGTGGGCAAAACGTTTCCGTGATGCCTCTGGCTAGACGAGCCACTTGGCATTACTCACTTCTTATGGCTGTAATCTATACCGTAACCAGCACGACATGGTCATACATTACTCTGTTGATATATCGCAACGTTTTCCGAGCAGTGAGGTACAGACTTACTTCGTGCTGTAGGACTGTAGCTGTATTGTTTGTTCACAATGAAGTTTCTCCAAAGTTCACGACAGCCCTGTGAGAAGGGGTGAGGCGTGAAGTTGTGCGCGTGGGGCAATGAAGCCGGCGACCTGAGTTTCATTCCCGACTGTGGCTAACGTCAGTGGCGGGCGATGTGCTCTGAGCCCTTGCCCGGGGCCACCAAATGGCACTGATCGGTGCGGTGAAGTGCCGGCAAACGATCCCCATGGTTGACGCGGCGTGGGGGAAGCCTTCGTTCGGCAGCCGATGGACAAGAGGAGCGTGAATAATCAATATTATTATTATGACTATTACCATCAATATAAAAGTGTTTGGGAAGGTTTTGAAGTAGATGTGGGTCAAAGTAAACTCGAAGCTGTGAAATTTCTATTGCAACAAATAAAGAATGTAAATGCAGAGTTAAGCGTCACAAGAGAAAACGGGTTTCAAGAGTGCAACAGATTAAAATGTAGAATGAAATATAAAACCAAACAAATTTATATTAACACAAACGATACACATTGACACAAAGGGGAAAAGGATATTCAAGAATTCACAATTACGTACATGATATTTATATATATATACATGAATAATATTGTATATAGATACTTATCCGATAGCCTTGATCAAATGAATGTGCCAACATGATGTACATTCGTTGAGCACAAGGCCTTTCAGCTGTGGGCTAAGAGCTCAGCAATAAACTACTGGGGCGTTTCTATGGCAGCCATTGCTGGTGTTTCTCCAAACTTGGCCATGGACGCAGCTCACAGTCCGAACGATTCGGTGGGAATTCTGTCTTTCGCCACTAATTATCACGCAGCACACTCGCGTGATCACTCCCCCCGAGACGCATTATCGTGAGGTGGGGGGGTCTGGGGTTGGAACTTCGCGTACCCCGAACATTAGAGGCGGGCACGCAGACCACGAGGCCAACCCGGCCTTTTCCTAATGCACAGGAGACAAACAGTGCCGCGGTAACGGTGATGACGCAGCGGTCGGATAAAGCGACCGAATTGCACCTTGGGAATGGAGCCTGGCACTAGGGTGTTGTGCACAGGTGGGCCCCAACGTCCAATTCGTTTGTATGTACGGATGTTGAACTTCTTTCACACCGTACTTAGTCAACCGTGCTAATCGGGGAAAGGCGACAAACTTAACACAAAAAGCAATTCTAAAGAAATGAGTTCGTCAATCTCGATGATTTCAAAGTGCATAGCTCCAGTGGCTTTCTAACATTGGCAGGGAGAGCTTTCCAGACGGCCGCATAAGCGCGTCTGAAGGCACGCGATGCGGTGACCGTCTTTGTTCGATGGCTGAGCCAAAAGCCGCTGATGCGAGGATGAGCGGAGTTTACTTGAAGGTTTATGCTCTTTGACGAGATCAGCAAGGTATTGTGGTGGCAAGCACTTTGTGTGTGATGAGTGCGACCTTATCGTGTATTTGTTCGGCAACCTGGAAGCCAATGCAACTCGGCGAGCACTGGACGGACACTGTCATTATTGAAATATGTTCATCAAATCAATCATTCAATTGACTTATCGCCCTTACTCAATCTGCTGGGTGAATGCCTCTTCACGCCATCATGTTGATCATGGGAGTTTGTTTGGACCATACTTCACCAGGACGGCGAGTGTGGGTTGGTGAAGAAGGGAGGGCAAGAACGGTTCTCACATCACTCTCATGTTAAGCCGCGGCCCAATATCGAACTCAGGTCACCCACCGGATGAATCGCAGCAAGCGCTATCCACTGCGCCGCTGCTCCCCTAGGTGCACGTTTGTTCCGTGGCATTACTTGTAACGGACAATGAACAGACGTAGGTAAACCTTGAGTTAACTGCAAGCATCTGGTCCTCGCTCCACTAACAATGTTACTTGAATTCCCACCTATAAGATCAGCAAAAGCTGCTGATTAGCTCAATTTGCAGATCAGTAGGGATCAAGGAGGGTTCCAGCCGGTGTCGACTCACGCCATTATGACCACCATGGCCCCCACGGATGAGTGTCAACTGTTGAGCATCGTCTGGTGGCCAGTTAACAGAGGGGGTTGACAGCTGAACAGACGGACCCTTGCACCTGTGATCCAGTGGTACGTAGATTTCAAAAGCATAGCAAAGCTGAGCACTTTGATGGGTGACCAGCGTGCGTGAAACAGGTGTTATAGGCTCCTGCAGGGCTCACGGTGTCGGCAAGGGAGGGCAATACAGTACAGCAACATCCATTGTATTGTACTATCCAATGACCATGTTCCCGCCCTTTACCAACCCGCACTGACCAGCGTGGTGAAGTATGATGAAAACCTCTCCCCGTCCCCCACGAGACCAACACAGATCGCGGGGAGGCCTCCACTCGGGGAATCTCGAGAACGCCCCTCTGAAGGCTACTTTGGCCGACTCTTCCACACTTGTCAGACATCTCGGAAGAGCTGGGACTACCCCCGCACTTTAACCCCACGCCGCACGCGACCTGACGATCGACGATACGTGCCGTTGTACCTCTTTATATTGCTGGGTTGACAGAGGCTTGGGTCGGGGGGGGGAGGTGTGTGTAGGATTTATAAAACTCTCAACCGGGAGATCGATTCGAGCCCGCGACCTCTCTGGATTGCAACTCTGAGCGCCGCAAGGCGAGCGCGCGCGTCGATATTGATCCCCGACTGAAACCGCGAGACGCGATGGCCGTCCCCGCTTCGTGCCGCGCGCAGCTCTGCGGCTACAGCAAGACGCCGCTCATGCTGCAGCTTTTCATCGGCACGGCGGACGAGCGGCCCGTGCGGCCGCACCCCTTCTACCAGGTGCACCGCGTCACCGGCAAGACGGTGCTGACTCCGAGCCGCGAGCTGGTGCTGGGCGACACCAAGGTGCTGGACATCCCCATGCTGCCCGAGAACGGCATGCTCGCCACGTACGTTGTTCCTCCGTCGCACGTCGCACGCACACAAAAATCATCCCTACCACCCCCCCACCACCCCCCCCCCCCCCCCCCCGTATAGCCTTAACAGACTGTCGGGGCAAGTGCTCAGTTGAACGAGTAGGCTTTCGCGACCAATATTATTCATACGAAAGGTTTTTGGGTTAGATCGCGAAAGTACAAATGTTGTGTCGTAACCCTCCACCACCCGAGACTGCCAATTACTCAGGGATTTGTCACGTAAACAAAACGCCAATTAGTTACTAATTCAGCCCACGGTGTGTTGGAATGTAAATCCACAACATTTACTTGAGTAAATGTGGATTAGTAAATCCCTTACTAATTGCCTGTGTCGGGTGGTGGAGGGTTACGACACATTTATACTGACACGATCTAACCAAACAACCTTTATTAAGTGGCAAGTGCTGTTAGCGAGCACCAATGAAGGCCGGCACAGCACACGAGGGGGTGGTTGACCAGCACCACGCCCCACCGCCGTTGTCTCCCCTGTGGCGATGTTTACACACCGCACAGGGTACTCAGTTTAGGCTGAGTCGACTTTGGGGGAGGCCCGGGACCAGTTTGGATTGTCGTCGCTGGTGTTGGCAGTGAGCGGGAAGAGAAACGCAGCGTAGCGCTACCCGCTACGCCACCGCTCCCCACACACATGAAGGCACAGGCACTGTTTATCCCACTACACGCAGGCTGCCAATTGGCTACCAACTATTTTTATTTTACCAGGTAAGGCCCACTGAGCTATGTAGCTCTTTTTCAGAAGCGACCTGGCCACAAATGATAGCTCAACGAAGTGGCCCATCGTCACGTGGACATTTATAGCAGCCAAAAGCTCTAAACTCGCGTTGATTCTAAATGTGGAGTGAAGAACCGGAGGACCCCGAGAGAAAAATCCACGCGACTAACCATCGTGCACTCGCTTATACTATGGTACAATTTTTTTGTGGTATCAAAATCATGAAAATGGAATAGGCTTTAACCTTACATTATTATCAAAGCACTTTGTTTGCATGTTTTACCACAAGCATGTGTGCTTAATGCTGACTTGATGACTTGCAATAGGTGTCTATAAATAGGTGTTTGAACATCTTAACACCTCCTGTATCATTGCCGGAAAGGGTGAATGCTATTTTAAAAAAATTGGAAACCAATTTATACTGTTGGGTGAACACAGGCGGTGGCGTGGGATTTAAAACTTTCCCCATCGTTACAATCGATGCGCCGGGAGATCGAACCGGTGGGGATCGCGATGCAGCGTGCGAACCATCACGGCACGCCAGCATCCTTGAGCTTAAGCTGATGCATTTATGCATTCGCTGCTAAGCAGGGCAGGGAATTCTGTAGGGTGTTCGTCGTTACGCTCAAAATGCACATTTACAGCCCTCTTTGGCAATACCCCAGTCGAAGAGGATCTTTCCACATCTGTGCGGGTTTTCTGTAAAATGATATCTTTTTTTTAATCATACTTCGCCATGCTGGTCAGTGCGGGTCGAAGGCGGCGGGAGCCGACATGTAACCATAAAAATACGCAAAACAACGGACTTGGCGGTTATCGCCTCCCCCAGCCCGTCACGCGGCAGCCCAGAGCGGCCTCTCTGCGCGTGGCGGGTCTCCCGTCCAAGCACCGTCAGCGCTCTGCCGGTGCTTAGCCGCCGATGGGATCGGGCGCATCCAGGCTCATTTGATCACATGCGCAAGAGCCTCGCATGCAATGCATAATTGATGGGGAATATTTGCCATTTGGTTAGTTGGGCGTCCGCAAAGCTTGTTACAACTTTGGGCTTGTTGGGTCAACCCGTGGGGCTTGGATTTAGTGCCGGCGAGGTTGTTCCTTGCAGACGAGCCCGCCGTCGCGGCCCTTAACATTAAACACGTTGTTCCACACCACACACACATATTGTAATTTTCAATATTATTCTCCCTCCCGTTTGTTTGAATAAAATGTCAGCAAGGCCAACACCGCCGTTGCAGAGAGGGCCTATTACGCCCGCGCATGCAGGTCATGGGTGTCCGCGGTTGTTCGCGGCGCCCAGCGACAAATCTACAAACTTCCCCCCCACCCTACCCCTCCTTTGGGTGTTAGACAAAATGTCAAACATTACGACATAGGGGCACACCTCACTTCCAATATGTGTACCCCCCCCCACCGGGAGAACGTTGATCTACATTGCCGACCTCCAGGACCAGCTAGGCGACCTGTATTGAGTGTGGTCGCAGCAGCAGCAGCATGGGGAACGTGACGGCACGGTGAGGGGGGGGAGGGTATTCCATGCGGCGTGGGTTTCGTGTTGAGAAATATAAAGCGGGTGGCCAGAGTGCAAGTGGAAGTTGTGCACACGTACTGCTCCCCCCACACCCTCCGTGTCAATCCACTGCTGGATAAGTTTTGCCCAAAGTCGCGCATATCATGAGGGTTTACAACATTGGAACCTCATTTGCCAGTAAAAAATATGATTATTGGTTTTTACCCTTCTATCTGGCAACAAAACTGACACCTTTTTTACAAGGAGTCATGTTTGCATAGACCACAATACCTGCAGTCGTAATGCAAACAAAAAACATAACTCTGATAATGTATGCACTGTCCTTGAAGTTGATTGGTCCACACCCGAGACAGCTTTCCTTAGAGCCTAGTCTCACATGGTGTTGGACCAGATGACGCCAAAAGGACAGTGCATACATTATCAGAGTTGTGTTTTTTGTTTGCATTATGACTGCAGGTATTGTGGTCTATGCAAACATGACTCCTTATAAAAAAAGGTGTCAGTTTTGTTGCCAGATAAAAGGGTAAAAAAAACAATTATCATGAGGGTTATTTGAGCATAGTTCACCATGCTGGTCAGTCGGGGGGGGGGGGATGTACGAATAGCATAGACGACGTGGGAGCATAGAAGTGCAGTAACGTAGATTGTGTTTGCATTGCCATCGGCTGCCCGTCACGTAGCGCCGGTCTCGCAGCTGTCTCGGACAATGAAGAGTGGTCATCATCCATCAGCAAGCACTGTCCAGGCTCGAGGCTGCGGAGATTCCGAGATCTGATGAGAATGAAACCCATTCCGGGTGGTCTGTTCAGTGGCATTGGGTGTTTGCATACATTTGTTCGGATGTCTGCGATTGTTTTGTATGCTCTCACGTGCCACCCAAATGAGCCCTCCTGGGTTCTGTTGGTCAGGCCGTGTAATTCACCAACACACGTGCGTGTGTGCGTGTGCGTCACCCACCCTCTCGTGTGCCGTGCCGGCCTTCAAAAGTGCTCGCTAACAGTACTTGCCCCAACAGTCTGTTTAAGGCTGTACGGGTGATATTGGTCTTTGTTTTGAGTTTGTGTCAGTGTGTGTGTTTGTGTCAGTGTGTGTGTGTTAGTGTGTGTGTCAGTGTGTGTGTCAGTGTGTGTGTCAGTGTGTGTTTTAGTGTGGATCAGTGTGTGTGTCAGTGTGTGTGTCAGTGTGTGTGTCAGTGTGGTGCTGGCCACCCACCCCCTCGTTCGTGTACCGTTCCGGCCTTCATAGGTGCTCGCTAACAGCACTTGCCCCTACAGTCTGTTAAGGCTATACGGGGGATCTTTGTCTTTGTCAGTGTGTGTATCAGTGTGTGTGTTTGTGTCAGTGTGTGTGTCAGTGTGTGTGTCAGTGTACGTGTCAGTGTTTCAGCGTGTGTTTGTTTGTGTCAATGTGTGTGTGTGTCCTAGTTTTGAAATGCCCCAGACCCTTTTGCACGTGAGGTTTTTTTATTGCATAAAGCCAAAATATACCACGTTTATCTCAAATGCACATGCTTTTGAAAAGAAAACCCAGTGAATATCTTATCATAATTGGGCGCCGCAACATCGCAGATTTGTGTTTTCAAATTGGGAACCTCAAGTCAACAGCACTATAGCACTTGAATTGCAATGCTACATACGCCAGTGAATACAATCAAAGTAGCAAACTACCCTGCGCCTTGAGCTAATACTCTCTCTCTCTCTCTCCTTGGTCGTGTTTATTAATCATAATGAATATGCTCTTCAGTAATCAGAACATTAATGACTTAGCCATATAATGGATTAATATGTTGTGAACAATTTGAAGATGCTTATTTAAATTTCGATTTAAAGCTTTCGTGACTGCAGGGATTCATCTTCTTGGTTTTTTCGGTAAAGTCACGTAGAAGGTAAATAATAAAAAAAAACATAATAAAATAATTCTCACAACGTTTCGGCCACAACGCAAGCAGCCGTCTTCAAGTGGAGAACAGGTCTGTCGAGAGACAGAGTCTGACTCTCGTGAGAATTATTTTATTATGTTTTATTTTATTATTTTATTATTATTTTCCTTCTACGTGACTTTACCGAAAGAACCAAGAAGATGCTTATTTATTCCATTACATCTTCAAAGCATCGATTCATCAGGGCCGATTATTTATTTCCTTCCTCCATGCAACAAATTGTAGGAAAAATCGCGGTCGCAATTTTTCACCCGTTTAATTCTGGTGTCCTTTGACATTTTTTCTTTGCACCGTGCTCTCATTTGCAGGCTCTCGTTAGATTGTCCGCAAGACGCGACTCGTTTATAACACGACTAATCATCTCGAATTCATAACGCCAGCGGCAGTCACCGTCGCTCTCTAATGACGAACAAACAACAGAAAAAAAAAGTAGCGACGACTCGCTCGCAACTTCGCTCGCCAACAAAAACCGATGAATCTCTACGGCCCTCCACCTGGTTAAATAAAAGAACAGTGATGGAGTGCCGGCTCCCCCCGCTTTATTAATAACGCGCGGGGAGCAAAGAGTGTAACGGGCTTCCGAGACGGTGGCAGCAGCGTCCCCCCCCCCCACACACACATCCCCCGCTGCGCTTAACGAGCACGGCTCGCTCCGCGGGTTCCACTGCCGCCGCAGGATCGATTGCGCGGGCATCCTGAAGTTGCGCAACGCCGACATCGAGCTGCGCTCGGGCGAAACCGACGTGGGCCGCAAGAACACGCGCGTGCGCCTCGTGTTCCGCACGCACGTGCCCCAGGCCGGAGGAGCGGAGCCCGTGTCGCTGCAGGTCGCCTCCATCCCCATCGAGTGCTGTACGTGGTGACGCACGCGCACGCACGCACACACACGCGCACGCACACACGCACGCACACACGCACACACGCACGCACACACGCACACACGCACGCACGCACGCGCGTGCACGCACACACACGCGCACGCACACACGCACGCACGCACGCGTACACATGCGCACGCACGCGCACGCACACACGCACGCACACACACGCACACACACGCACGCGCACACACGCACACACACACACACGCACGCACGCACACACGCGCACACACACGAGAGCGAGCGAGCGAGAGAGAGAGCCGACACGATCGCGATGACAATCGCACGCAACGCCCCGGGGGGTTTAATTTCACGCTGAATATCGTCCAAAATAATTGTGGTGGTGGTTGGTGGTGGGTGGTGACGCTGCGTTCGTTGGCGGCAGTGCACAAGGAAAAGTAGGAAAAGACAACACGTTTGTCGATAACGTTGCCCTGACGAGGAAGACATGTATATTGGGTCACATTTTGGGCGATCTTCATAGCAGAGAAATGTTATCTTTAGGGCAGTGTTCTTCATGGGTGTGTTGATTTGTTTTCTACTTTGTCACCTGCCCTGGTTTTACGGTGATCATCTCCTTTTTGAGGCGTCCATCCTGGGTCACCTGTAACTATTCCAGGGACTTTAAAAGTCTCAGACTACTCGTAATAACACATCCCTGTGTTATGTACAGGTACATTGGAGATGGCAACCGTAATATTGGATGTGGTGTTTTCTGGGACGTAAATATGTTTTAATTTTAGCAGGTAAGGCCCAGTGAGCTATGAAGCTCTTTTTCAGAAGCGACCTGGCCACAAATGATAGCTCAACGAAGTGGCTTATCACGTGGAAATGTATAGCAGACAAATATACTCTAAAGGCGTGTTTTAAAATGTGGAGGGAAAAACTGGAGGACCCAGAGAAAAATCCACGCGACCACGATGAGAACATGCACACTCCAAATATTCAGGCGTCATGGTCGGGATCGAATCCACGACCTCCTCCATACCAGACCCTGACAGACCAAGCTGAATTTTAGCCCCCCCCCCCCCAACATCCCCCTGCCCCCATTTGCCACAGCACGCAGCTGCTCAACTTTGGTCAAATGACCTATAAACTTAATGGCCATTGAGCTGTTTTTATTTTTTACAAACGTGGGATTAAGTTTCGTTTCTTTGCAATGCAACACCCTGACATATGCAAGTATAGGACTGATGTTTGCATTTTTTTTTTATCGCCGTACACATGTCAAAAGTAGATGTGTGCATGACAAAGGCCTCTAGATTATTTTTATTGTTTTAAAACACGGACAAAGAATGGCGGTTCAAAGTTTCAAATTAGCAGCAGGCCTATGCCGACTAAAACCTAAATATTGCTCATTCATGTCTAAAAAAAGGTTAAATATTAGAAAGTGTAATTAAATGAATTCCAAACTATAAAAACTATTTTTAAAATCCCATTATTTTGACATGAAATCTTAACCGAGCCCCATGACTCAACACACACCTGGAACTTATGTAAATATCCTTACCCTGTCGTGCTGCCAGTTTGCCACCACTGTACTGGAAGTGATGTGGGCATTTCATCTGTTCAATGTTGAGCATATAACCGCACGTTCATGAATGACGTTTTTTAACAATATATATACATAGCCTTACACACTGTGAAAGTAAGTGCTGTTAGCCAGCACCTATTACATAGCCTTACACACTGTTACTGTTAAAGGAAGTGCTGTTAGCCAGCACCTATTACATAGCCTTACACACTGTTACTGTTAAAGCAAGTGCCGTTAGCCAGCACCTATTAAATAGCCTTACACACTGTGAAAGTAAGTGCTGTAAGCCAGGAACTATTACTTAGCCTGACACACTGTTTAAAGCAAGTCCTGTTAGCCAAGACCTATTACATAGCCTTACACTCTGTTACTGCTAAAGCAATTGCTGTTCACTAGCACCTATGAAGGCCGCAACGGCGCACGAGAGGTGGTGTGACCACGACCACGCCGATCCACCTTTGTCACCCCCAGTGATGATGCTTACATCCTGTAAGAGTACTCAATTAAGGCTGAGTGCACCTAGGGGAAGTCCAAAACCGGTGCAGAAATCACTCACCACTCACGTTGGCCATGGCTGGGAATCGAGTGCAGATCGCCAGGCGCAGCGCGCTAACCACAACACCACCACTTCCCACAAATACAAAGATCCCCCGTATAGCCTTATTAGACTGTTGGGGCAAGTGCTGTTAGCCATCACCAATGAAGGCCGGCACTGTGGCACACGAGGGGGTGGGTGGCCAGCACCACGGCTGGCCGCCTTTGTCTCCCCAGCGGCGATGTTTACACGCCACACAAGGTGCTCATTTGAGACCGAGTCGATCTAGGGGAGGCCCGGGACGGGTTAAGATAATTATCGTCACTGGTGGTGGCCGTGAGCGGGAATCCAACACGGGTCGCCGGGTTCGGAACGCAGCGTAGCGCTAACCACTACACCACCGCTCCCCGCAGTATGATTCCCACACAACACGCGCGCGCACAAACTCATATGCACGCGCCAGAAAATGTCCCCGGCTGTGCTTGTGTATTCCAAGCGTAACGCCTCGCCGCATCTGCTAAAATCCAACCAGCAATGCATTACCCATCCATGCGCCTGTTCGCTATAGGTCAGGTTGTGCCTCTCAGTCCCTCCAGCTGCCTTTCACACATTTCCCGGAACAGTTTGCACCTGCGGCGACCTGCTGCTGCTGCTGGCTGCTCTGCTCTGCCATTCCCCGTATCACCCCCATCCCCATCTCTCTCTCTCTCTCCGCGTGCTTCCAAATGGCACGGAGAGACCAGGAAGAGGAGGAGGAGTGCCTCGCGACTGCATTGGCGGTTGCCGTCGTGCAACTACAGTCGTGCACGCCTGATTTGTCGGAGTCAGATAGCCACGGATTACGGGAGAGATGTTAAAGACCTCGCCTGGTATACAGGAGGTCGTGACTTGGACCCCGACGCCTGTTTATGTGGATTTTGCATGTCTCTCTCCGCCGTGGTCGCGTGGATTTTTTTTCACCGGGTCCTCTGGTTTTTTTCCCCCTCCACATTTAGGAACACGCGTACAGAGCATGTGGCTGCTATACATTTCCACATGCATTAAGCACACATGCTTGTGATAAAACACGCCAAGTGCTTTGATAATTACGTGTTTAAGGTTAAAGCCTATTCTCCTTTCATCATTTTGATACCGCAAAAAAAATTGTACCGCAGTATAAGTGAGTACACGGCGGTTAGTCGCGTTTATTTTTCTCCGGGTCCTCCGGTTTTTCACTCCACGTTTAGAATCAATGTGCTTTTAGAGCTTTTGGCTGCTTTAAATGTCCACGTGATGATAGGCCACTTCGTTGAGCTATCATTTGTGGCCAAGTCGCTTCTGTAAAAAAAGCCATATAACAGCTCAGTGGGCCTTAACTGGTCAAATAAAAAATAAAATCGTTTGTTTTTGTTTATATAATCTTTATTTATAGAATCTTTATTCATCCTGGAGGAATCCGAAGAGCCACGAAGCTATTTTTCAAATATGTCCAGTCGGGGGGGGGGGGGGGGGGGTCTGCAAGTTACAACAACTGTGTCCGAGGGGGATATTTGGAGGGGTCCAAATGTCCGTCAGACAATGAGGGCTTAATCATCAACCGGCTCTGTCGGGATTGGTGACCCTGCAAGTGATTCTTCACTCGACACACCACGACAACCACAGCACCTGACGCTCTCTCGCCGTTGCTGTGGCTACTAATCCCGTGCCACCTCGATGTCTCGCAGCGGCAATACTGTTGGCTTGGTGCAATCACCTTTTTCTCCGGGCTCCTTCCACATTTACAATCAACATCGCGCGTTTACAGTGTCTGGCTGCTCTAAATTCCCACGTGACGATGGGCCACTTCGTTGAGCTATCATTTGTGGCTGCCAGGTCGCTTCTGCAAGATAGCTGCATAGCTCCTGGTGGGCCTTACCTGGTGAAAATACAAATTAAAAAAAACACCCGCTTGGTTGACGGGTGACGCGCTATCCTTCGGCACTGTTTACTCTTCAGCGCACGGTCCGGCCGACTTGACGGTAGCACGCAGTGGCAAGGGCTGTTGGTCACAGGGATGACCGCAGAACAACGATTCCTCCGCAATGCATACTGGGCATGAGTTGCAGTTACATTCGGTGGGCACTATGAGCCAGGCGACCCGAGTTCGATTCAGTGGCGATATCTGAACCAGTTCGGGACAGCTTCACAAATCCGCATTAACCAGCAAAGGGAAGTAAGTTAAAGAACCCCGACGATTGTTCACGCAGCAGTAGATTGACAAAGAGGGTGTAATATGAATCGGGTTTGACGCTGAACAACATCAATATTTATAATTGGGCATGTGACGATGCACAGTAGCACATTATTGTGCCTATGAGAATAGCACGTTATTGTGCCTATGATAATATATTGTTAATATATACAAATAGCTGTATTTGAAAATGATATGTGTACGGCACATCTGGGCTAATGGAACGGACGAAACTATACAAACGAGAAATAATTCGCGGATTAAATCGCTCGGCCAAATTGTGACAATTGATCGACGGGGAGGATCGAAGTGGAGCAATTAATTGTGACATTATTATTTACGACATACTGCAGATACACACAATGCAAATGTCCATGATCTCTCTCCACTGCTGGGTGAAGGACTCCCCCAAGCCGTCACCATTCCTCACACGCGGATGCAGCAATCCATCTGGCTCCTGTCTCACCGATTCCATCTCCTTGGGCTGGACAGACCCTCAGACACATTCGCTCATTTGGCTGCTTCTCCGACCGCGGGGGAGCGGTAGTGTAGTTGTTAGAGCGGTAGTGTAGTTGTTAGCGCGGTAGTGTAGTTGTTAGCGCGGTAGTGTAGTTGTTAGAGCGGTAGTGTAGTTGTTAGAGCGGTAGTGTAGTTGTTAGAGCGGTAGTGTAGTTGCTAGCGCGGTAGTGTAGTTGTTAGCGCGGTAGTGTAGTTGTTAGAGCGGTAGTGTAGTTGTTAGAGCGGTAGTGTAGTTGCTAGCGCAGTAGTGTAGTTGTTAGCGCGGTAGTGTAGTTGTTAGAGCGGTAGTGTAGTTGTTAGCGCGGTAGTGTGGTTGTTAGCGCGGTAGTGTGGTTGTTAGCGCGGTAGTGTAGTTGTTAGAGCGGTAGTGTAGTTGTTAGAGCGGTAGTGTAGTTGTTAGAGCGGTAGTGTAGTTGTTAGAGCGGTAGTGTAGTTGTTAGAGCGGTAGCGTAGTTGTTAGCGCGGTAGTGTAGTTGTTAGAGCGGTAGTGTAGTTGTTAGCGCGGTAGTGTAGTTGTTAGCGCGGTAGTGTAGTTGTTAGAGCGGTAGTGTAGTTGTTAGCGCGGTAGTGTAGTTGTTAGCGCGGTAGTGTAGTTGTTAGCGCGGTAGTGTAGTTGTTAGCGCGGTAGTGTAGTTGTTAGCGCGGTAGTGTAGTTGTTAGCGCGGTAGTGTAGTTGTTAGCGCGGTAGTGTAGTTGTTAGCGCGGTAGTGTAGTTGTTAGAGCGGTAGTGTAGTTGTTAACGCGGTAGTGTAGTTGTTAGAGCGGTAGTGTAGTTGTTAGAGCGGTAGTGTAGTTGTTAGCGCGGTAGTGTAGTTGTTAGCGCGGTAGTGTAGTTGTTAGAGCGGTAGTGTAGTTGTTAGCGCGGTAGTGTAGTTGTTAGCGCGGTAGTGTAGTTGTCAGTGCGGTAGTGTAGTTGTTAGAGCGGTAGTGTAGTTGTTAGTGCGGTAGTGTAGTTGTTAGAGCGGTAGTGTAGTTGTTAGAGCGGTAGTGTAGTTGTTAGCGCGGTAGTGTAGTTGTTAGCGCGGTAGTGTAGTTGTTAGCGCGGTAGTGTAGTTGTTAGAGCGGTAGCGTGGTTGTTAGCGCTACGCTGCACTACGAACCCGGTGACCCGAGTTCGATTCCTGCCGACGGACAACGCCAGTGACGAATATCTGAACCGGTCTTGGGCCTCCCCTAGGTCGACTCAGCCTCAAATGAGTACCTGGTGGAGATGTACAAAACATCGCCACTGGGGAAACAACGGCGGTTGAGCATGGTGCTGGCCACCCACAACCCCCTTTGTGTACCGTTCCGGCCTTCATAGGTGCTCGCGAACAGCACTTGCCCCAACAGTCTGTTCAGGCTATACGGGGGATCTTTGTCTTTTGACTTCCCCTACTAAAGCCCACAGTCGATAGAAGATAGTAAGCTATAAAATAAATAATTACAAATGTGGTTGCAGGGAGGGGGGGAGGGTAGCTGTTAATGGTTCTCGCTGGGGTTCCTACAACCTCAGCGCCGCGTCTGAACGGGCCTGCTTCTCGCTGTGAAGGGTGTTACAGAGCAGCCCCTCGTCAGCGCCGAGGGCTGGATGCACGCTATTCACCAATTTGTGTCGGCGTCAGCTATTCCACACGTCGCTTCTGCAAATCGCACGCAAACAAATGTTAGCGGGGAGCAAATGAGCAAGTGTGGCGTCGCGATTCCGTGTGGCCACAGGCGCAGCAGCAACGGGCGGATCTCTGGAGAGCCACTTGTTCAAGCCCCTCGCAGTAATGAGGCTGCGGAGACAATTTCAATATCACACGGAACCACCTGACAACGTGGGCCCGTGATTGAAGTGCAGAAGCTTCAATGATAATGGGATTTTAATATCCTGATGAATCCCGCATTGTTGCTGGACAATGCGTGTTAATTCAAGTGCGGCCACTTCTGAGATTTCTAGAACCGGGGTTTGATGTTAATTTTTGTATTTATGTAAATAAAAAAAACACAATCAAAAGGCCACTAAAAAGCGATATCCTTCATTCATGGCGACGGTTACGATGACCGTGATGAATTGTGAATGATGACACTTATTACGATGATGATATTAACATTGGTAATTATTGGTCATGGAAAGCAATGGCACTTTTATGAAAACGACAATGATGATGGTAATACTAATTATAATGATGATGATGTCCGTTCCAGCTCAGAGATCCGCACAGAAGCACCCTCTGATTGAGCGGTTGAGCATCAACAGCTGCTCTGTGATGGGTGGGGACGAGATGGTCATCACTGGAAGCAATTTTCTTCCAGAGTCGAAGGTCATCTTCACACAGAAGGGGGAAGGTGAGCGGCCCCACCGTGAGGGCTTTGATCTCGTTATCGCTTTGTCTGCGTTCTTTTCTTGCTAAGCGGCAGCCAGACGTTTTAATATTCCTGCACACGTAGATATTTTATGAGGTGTACACTGTATACAGAGCTTCATTAAGTTGTGACCTCCCTTTTTTTGTTAAGTTTGGTGGTTTTGGTTGATATCGTAAAAAAGTGTGTAAATAAATGTACATTTTTAAAAAAACATCCATATTGAAACATTAACAATTAAACGTGCACGTGGGGTTATAACATTTCACTTTGGAAACGAATTTTCATCGCTGTAATTGTATCCCAGTCGCGTTCCCTGCCGCTGAAAAATTGTGCTAAGACGACCCATGGCAGGGGGGGGGGTTGTCATTTGGCAGCTGTAATGCACATGGTGAATTATCACCTCAGCTGTACAAATTCTCACTCCGAACCCGGCTGTGGGAACAAACGGGGAAGGGCAAAAGTGTCACCACCACTCGTTGCTTTCAGCCCTGTAGAGTTTCACATGGGGCCAATTAAAAGTTCCGCTGAGAAGGAAAATAGAAAGAAGTGAAATCGGAGGCTGGGTGAGACAACCCTCGCGTTAGTTCCCGTACAGCGGGGTAACAAAAGGCGCGAGACGGTTGAGAGGATGTATATTTATGAAGCGATGTGGACTCCAAACGCAAACGGGAACATGAAACGCAACTGAAAAATGCGTACGCTCAGAATGCCAGCTACGGTTGAAAATGTATCGCAAGGAAATAACAACATTGTATACTTCGATTTAAAGCTTTCGTGACTGCAGGGATTCATCTCCTTGGTTCTTTCGGTAAAGTCACGTAGAAGGGAAGTAATAAAACAATAAAAATGAAGCATAATATAATAATAATTTTATTATGCTTCATTTTAAAATATTTTTTTTATTATGCTTCATTTTAAAATAATTATTTTATTATGTTTTATTTTTATTATTACTTCCCTGCGGATGGGAGCAGTGTCACTAAGTTACTATCGCATTATTTTATTACGTTTTATTTTTATTATTGTATTACTTCCCTTCGACGTGACTTTACCGAAGGAACCAAGAAGATGAACATTCTATACGTATAAAGGAAATGTACGGCAGAAGAGTGAGAATCTGGGACGCGTAATATTAACATTTTCTGACTGCTGAGATACAGGGCTTGGCTTTTTTTAATGCTCAACCGAATGACAAAATACCTGCACGATATTTAATTTAGAAAAATGTTCATAACCCGCCGTTGCCTTTTGGCACATTGCCTTGAAAGTCATAACGTATATGAATATTTACTCTCAAAGATGGACGGACTGTGTGGGAGAAGGAGGTCGACCTTACGATGGAGAACTTCCATTCGGTGAGTAGATAAAGCCGTTTCAACAGAACCCCAATTGCTGTGAAGGTGAAAGCTGTATTTGCACTCGAAACACTGCAGACTGCAGAGACGGAACGAGATTGCATTGTGCTGTTTGTTCGCTTAGAAACAGGGGGAATTAAGGCTGGCAAATTTCTGGGAGGCTCAACTGAGACACACGTGTTGAGCTGGCAGCCCCTCCCCCTCGGTCAACCACGCCTACTTTGGTATAGCCACGCCTACTCAACCACTAGCTCCCGTGCAGTGGGTGGCTCTACTCGTTCAAAGCTGGCCCCCACCTTCTCATAGGGCCCGCCTAGCCCTGTGCCAACCCCAACCCCGCTTCCCAGATCGCCCTTCCCTTGCTGTCTCACACATGGGAGGTTCGAAAATACTGAACGTTATCCACACTATGGGTGTAAATAAATTGTCATTAGCATCTTTACGCTTTGCAAATATAGCAACAATATATATAAACCTATTTTCGTATCATGAGTCAAGCAAGAGCCCAAAACTTTCTTATGTGCTTTTTAAAGTGGAACAAAAATCGGGAAGCTTCGGCGACATTGGGGACGACGTTTCTAAAGCGAGGAACGTGAGCCCGGCCCCCTTGACGCTCGCTGACAGCGGAGGTCAGTGCCTCGCTCGCACGGCGAGACGCGTCGCGTCTTCGCAGAGCGTGCGGCTCCCCCAAGAGGCCTGTGGCTAACCGCCTGGGGTTTCATGCGGATGGGAGCAGTGTCACTAAGTTACTAACGCATTGTTCTGGTAGACGCACGCGACTCCACACAAGCGGATGTAGAAACTCCCCAAGAGTGGCCCCCCAATGTTCGTACAAAAATAACTAAGTAGCAATGCGTAGTCCATGTTAAATATCAATAAAATACAAATACATGGGTCATCAAGGGGTTCATTTCTTGAGAACTGCTTTTTGTGTTTAGTTTGTTTCCCTTCCCCCGCACACTCCGATTTGCACGTTTGGCTACGTACGGTACGAAAGAAGTTCGACGTACAGTACATACAACGGGTGGGTGGAGAGAGGGGATGGGGCAATTGCCACAATCACCCCCCTCCCCCATCCCTAAATCTACCTCTGTGGCCTCGATAATTCCGTGGAGCTCAGTGTTAATCCACTGCGCGTTAAAGGAACCAAATTGACCCACGTCGTGGGGGTTGTTTGACCACCATACGTCTCCCTGCTGGTCAGTGTGTGTTGGTGATGGAAGCATTCGGCCCTGGACCGGTCCAGATATCGCTCGCAACGTTCATTAGTTGGGAACAGGAATTACATTCAGGTCACTGGATCCAGTAGCGCAGTGCTGCCCCCACCCATCGCCACCACCCACCACCTATAACCGCCCCGTGACTTCTGTTGCAACTGTCCTGTAAAGCTACATGGGGAACCGTACCTGTTTGCGAGCGTGTCTCTGCCGTGGCGACCTTCACAGGTGCTCGCTAACAGCACTTGACCCCAACAGTCTGTTCAGGCTATACGGGTGACCTTTGTCTTTGTATCTCCATCGACACATGGCACCTGGGCCTCTTCTGCGACCTCCTGCCAGCGAGCCTCTGACACGTCACGTGGCAGTTAGAATGGCACCAGCGCCGTGGTGAAGTCACCACCACTTGGTGACACGAGGCAGTCGTTGCTGTTGTGTATCTGTGTTGATGTGTGTTGATGTGTTCACGCGAGTGGAATCTGTGGCGCAGCAGTTGGCACGCTGCGCTACGAACACGGTGACTCGAGTTCCATTCCCGCTCACGGCCAACATTGATGATCACCTTTGGCATTTTGAATCTGATCGCTTCACTTAGCCGTCTCAAAGCCCCATCGAGAGAGCGGCGTACGCACCAAATCCCGAGCGTGCCGATACGTTGTTACACGTTGGTGACGTGATTTTAGAGCAAGCTGCAACGAATTATCGTGCAACGCACTGTGTTTTAGAAAATGTGATGTTTGAACCACTGCGGCTCTTACCCTGTCATTAACACACAGAGGTGTCATTTCACTAAAATTCCAGGACTAGAAGCCAGACGAGAGTCGCTTTAATATTGTATTACACATACACTTGGATATGGGGGGCAGTGGTGCAGTGAAAAGCAGGCTATGCTCTCAATCCGAATGTATGAAGCATATTCCTCGCCACGGCTAACATCAGTGGCGAGTCATAGCTGAACTAAGTCCCGGATCCCCGCCCCCTTCATCAACCGCGCTGAGCAGTGCGGTAAAGTATGGTAAAACAATCCCCTGACTGCCACGTAATAGCCATGTGAATGAACACATGGCTGTGAATTCTAACAAAACTTAGTCCCGTACAATATCAATGTTGTTAAATGTTTAGTCAAGTAGCGGGAAGCAATGTTACATTAGAAATTTGAAGAGCTAAATATATTATGCCATAAGATTATATCCATCCCATCTGTTAGTAACGTATGATTGTAATGCCAAACTAGGTTGTAAAAGTTTACTTGATTGCAATTTTCACGTCTATAATTGTACTTTCATATAAAGTCGTAGAAGTGCAACAGATGCATCAATTCAGCAATGTCCATGTTTAAGCTCACAATGCATGCACTAGTGGCCGCTACATCACAATCTAAAACAAACATTTTCTTGAATGGCATTTTGACCCCGAGCTGAGACAATTTATGGAATATGCCACGGTGAAATAAAATGTTTTGCGTCTGGTATTAATACACGCAGCAGTGTAGAGGATGGTCCACCCCCCTGTAGAGGCATCATCCATCATTACAGACTCACAGTGGGACAGCCGTTTGCACGATGTGATTGAATGTTGATGTGACATCAAATATATCGTATATGGCAAAAACGTGAGAAACTAGAGTGATCTTTAAGAGCAGTCAATGAAAGCGTTCAAAACAATTGCAGCATGTCCCCTAAGTACCCAGTGCAGTGTCTGAAACATCGACACTGGGAAGGCAAAGGCGGCCAGATGTGGTCCTGGACACCCACCCACTTGTGCGTCGTGCCGCCCTAACAGGAGCTCGCTAACAGCACTTGCCCCAACAGTCTGTCCACGGCTATGTGCGATTTTTGTCTTTGAATAGTTGTATCAACCGAGCCCAAACTGCCCTCGATTTATGATTCTTTAACAATGGACTTTAACTCTACGGATGCCGTGCACGGTGCATGGACATTCAGCCACGCAAACCGATCCTGGCTGCCGAGGAACTCCCGTGATTAATGCGTGTCGTGCGTGCGTGTTGCGTGTGCGTGTCGTGCGTGTCGCGTGTGCATGCAGGCCAAAGCCTTGGTGCGCGTCCCACCGTACCAAGACCGCAACGTCGCAGCGCCCGTGAGCGTACAGGTTTACGTCTGCAACGGAAAGCAGGAAAAGAGCCAGAACCACTCCCTCACTTACCTGCCGCTCACAGGCAAGCGACATTCACACCGGACATCTTGCTGCAGATGAACATGCAGCGACACTCCTCGTTATCCGCCCACCGATGAACATTCTTCCTCTTGTCCACCGCTCACCCCAACGCAGATATCATTTCCATTATTCACCACTCGATCTTTTAAATAAAACCTCTGTTGTACTGATACACACACACACACATAGATCTCAGACACACACACACATGAATGTGGGTGGTTATTCACGTGTAAGTTTGCGGGGAGCAGCAGTGTAATGGTTTGCGCACAACACCACGAACTCGGCAATCAGAATTTGATTCCCGCGAACAGCCAACATCGGGAGAGAATAGCTGAACCGATCTTGGGCCTCCCCTAAGTGGACCCAGCATTTACTGAGTAGCCGGTGTTGCTGTGTGATCAGCATTGGGGAGATAAAGGTGGCACGGGCGTGGTGCTATCCACCCGGCACCTCGTGTGCCTGTGCCGGCCTTATTAAGAGCTCGCTGACAGAAATGGCCAACAGTATGCTGAAGGCTACAGAAGGATGAATCTATGTCTTAGTATATGTGCATATTCAAAGACGAGGGCCTGCGTTTGATTTCAAGGGGGAATGTTGAAAATGTTAACTCTAAAGTAAAACAATGTTTTTTTTCGTATTTGTAAATCATGCACTAGATTATAAAAGACCATATGTCTTTATTAAATAAGAAATATCTGTTCGTATTTTTCATATCATTCAGCTGCAACTTATTTATTCTTATTATTGATTTCCACTTGTTAATGGCATCCGTCAGCTAAACATTCAACAGGGCTGTCTCGCCAGCCATCTAGCGTTACTTTTATGACTGTCAAGTAGAAGAGCAGCTGATAAGCTGATCAGGACTTGCTTTGATCTTGATCGCACCAAGATCTGATCGATGCACAATTTAAAAAGAATTCACTAACGTAAATCTCAAAAATAAGATGGGATCCCATTCCAAGCATGCGTTTCTTATGTTTACCATTCACAATATTATCAGTATATATATAGCCAAATAAATACGCCACGAAACCATAACAACGTGTAAATATTGTGGGGTTGAGACAAAAGAGTAGGGCTAGCATGAATGCATAACAGCGTTTTCAGTGAATAAAAAGCACAAAAATCTTGATGATCCCTTGACCATTCGCGCCAAAGCATTTCACAGCGGCAAATTGTAAGCACTGAAGCAAAAATCAAAACGCAACTGGAAGAACACCAACTAAATATAATTGCAAGAAATAGAACTTGCATTCAATGTGGATCAGCTGGTTGCTCACGCCTCACGCGATCAATGTTCATGTTTTTCTTTTTTTTTAGGGTGGGGGGGAAATGGGGAGACGGGGGGTGGGGGCGGCGGTTGTTAAAGCCAATAAATTTGCCACAACAGTGCCTGCCCTGCATAGATAAGCCCAGCGTGCTCCTAAAACAGCCTCCGTGGTAACAGCCCTTATCAGATAAAAGCTCTTATTGGGAGCCGTGTCAAAGTATAGTTCACACTTTCGATGGCGAACAAGTTAGAAACATACGTTCTATAAATACAATTAAGAGTTTGGGATTTTTCTCACTTTTTCGAAGCTTGAGTGTACCATCAGCCGAACATTGGTGGAGCTTTGCTCATCGTGTTATTTCAAATTTAGTGGAGGGCTTATTAGAAATAAGACATCAAGTGATGAAAAGGTGTGGGCAGTAAAGGCACAAGTGTGAAAAGGTATTACAGCGATTCGTTTTTTTGCCTTACCGCTACATGTATAAAAAGCCAGGAGAATATAAACTAAACGTAGACTTATTTTACATTGTATCAGATAAAATAGGACTAAGTGGCACAAAAAATATACAGCATATGGTAAAACTGCAACACACATGCACAGACTAAGTGTAACTGCATTTCAGCTGCTTGAGAGAGCTTGTGGCATTCAGGATTTGAACCTGGCATGAAATTACAAACAAAAATAAAAATATAGAATCAGACATTTTCAATGATACTTAAAAATAAATGACTATTTACCTATGACACCTGTTGCATCAGGGCTAGTGACAAAAATCAACAAAACTCGCTACGATTATTTCTAAAGGATGGCGGCTGGGAATTGACTTGAGGTTGGAATTGTTTTGGCTTCACAAAAGTAGTTACCAAGTATTTTACATATACAAGATTCTAGGCACTTCATTACGAGGAAAAGCGAACGTAGTTTTGGTGACCATAAATAGACACCCGTTACCTAAAAACCGATGCGGAAACGGGCACACGTACGTGTATATTAAAAAAACACGGGCGCGAGAAAGAGAGAGAAAGAGCGAGTGATCAAAGTACGAGCTGAAGCTGACCAAGCCAACGACGCCCAGTTATCTCAACGAGCAGGAGTGTTGAACGTCACCAGCAGGAGGCCCTTGTGGTCTCACGATTATTCAATCCTTGGAATTCTGTGCCCCCAGCAGTTAAAAATAGTCCCTGCCACCACCCCCCCACCACCCTCCCCCACCCGTTGCTGTCAGCCAAGCGCACATTTCGGTATCAGGATCTAAGACGTTTCTCTCATTATAAGCCGCGAAATGCTGATGGCTTGTCTATGCAAATGGCATTCTCATTGCGGCGATCAGTGTGGCCGTTGTTGGCCACTGCTCTTGGCACGAAAAGAGGGCTCGATTACATTATACGCGCCGAGGTTTAAGACACGGACACGTGGTTGGTTTACTGTTCATTATGCGCGCGTATTTGAACACACAGTGATTAGTTCTTTTGTTCATTCAATAGTTAACTTTAATTTCAACAAACGTTATCCCATTTTGCTTATGAGCTAGCGCTTACTGAAGATTCGATGTACATGAGGGCTGCTGCATTGTAATTTCGACATTATCCAATAAAATGTACATTTCACCGTGATGTTTATCGTGGAATCAGATTCCGTTAATTTTGCAATTGTATTTAGCATGTTCATAGTCTTGTTTTTGTGCCTTTATGTAATCAAGTATGCGATAAATACAGCTGAAACGTTACTCAACTGCAGTTCACTCAACATAAGCCTGCCATGAGTATGTAGAACTTCTTTCGCACCGTACGTAGCCAACCGTGCTAATCGGAGGTTCGGGGGAAGGACAACAAACTAAACACAAAAAGCAGTTCGAAAGAAATTATATAATCATTGAAACTTTACCATCCACTCACAATGCACTCACTGTTAGAAAAACGAGACTAGGCTCGAAAGAAAGCTGTCTCTGGTGTGGACCAATTTCAGAGACAATGCACATATTATCAGAGTGTTTTTTGTTTGCATTTTGACCACAAGTATTGTGGTTAATGCAGACATGATTCCTTGTTAAAGGTTTCAGTTTGGTGTTTTAGTATCTTAACACCTGTGTTGTTGCCAGAAAGAAGGGGAAAACCTATTCTCATATATATTTTTGTAAGCTAATTATGGTTGTGAACTCTTTCTTTCCCAAACATTCTCAGAAATTTACGAGAACTTCAAAGACCAGCAATAGTAAAAAAAATGACGGTATTTTACAAAAATGGACAATCTGTTTATCACGGTTTATATATCGTACAATGTATCACGGTATCGCCATATCATTCGTAAGGGTTTTTTTCCGAAAGATATGAACCTCGGAAGCATGCTTCAGTTAATTTTTGTTTCCTTGTATGTACATTTACTCGTAAATATCTCAATTGCGCAATGCTGACGCTGCTTAAAAAAACACTGCCCTCTGTCTCGGTGTTTAGGTGTCCCAATAAAGCAGGAGACGCCGTGCGAGTTCGCCCACCAGATGGTCCACACGTTCAGACCCGCGTCCCCCCTACTACCTGCCACCGCGTACGGCGGCAGCGGGGCCTCCCCATCGCCGCCTCGGCCGATGGCGTTCCCCGTCTCCCGCGGCGTGGCCTCGCCCCAACCGCTTGTCGTCCCCGCGCGGCTCTCGTCATCTCCTTCCGAGCAGATCACCGTCTCCGCCCGCCTCTCCCCGTCCCACAAAGCGGCGGCGGCGGCGGTGTCACCCGGAAGCTCGCCGACGCTCACGGCCGGTTCCGGCGCGAGGCTCTCCGCGAGCCCCGGCCGGTCGTCCGCGTTCTCCTCCGCCGCCGGCGTGCCGTCGCCCCGGTCGAGCTCCCCCTCCGCCTCGGTCATCGGCATTGGCGGCGGCGGCATCTTCTCGCCGCTCCGCGGAGTCGCCCACGCCGCTCCGGCGAACGTCGCGGCCACGGGGCCACCGGGAGGCCCCGCGATCGCATTCGGCCCCGCGGGCCGGCAGCAAGCATTTGCGACCGACGTCCCCAACCAGGCCTCCCGCCTCTCGTTCGGGCCAGATTGCGGCGCCCAGCCTCCGACCCTGCTCGTGGGCCAGGCCGCCCGGTGGCCCGAGGGCGGGGGCCTCCGCCGTCCCGTCGCCATCTCCGGAGCCGCTCCGCCCTCCGCGGGCCGGGCCGACGCCTCGTGCTCCTTCCGGATGGCGCAGCCAACGCCGCCGCCGCCGAGCGGACACCGGGCGGGCCGCGACGCGTCGGGGGAGCGGACGCCGTCCGCCTACGGGGAGATGCCGGCGTCCGGCGGAGCAGAGGTCGCGGGGTCGAAGGGCTCGCCTGGTGAGAGGCCGCCGTTTGGGACGGCGGGAGGGCGGGGGGCGAACTGCGGCGTGCCGTTCGGAGAGGCGCCCGCGTGGAACCCGGCGGCGGTGAAGGAGGAACCCCCAGGACGGAGACGTGTTTGGCATGAAGGAGTTCAGCATGCTGGAGGATGGTAGGTGACCGCGCGTCAGTTTTCATAACAAACACAAAGAGCCTTGCCACCACAGCGGGTGCTGTGACCTCACAGCAAGGTTAGGGTCGGCGTTTGCGTGCGTGCATGTGTGTGTGTGTGTGTGCATGAAAGATCTGGGCAAAGTCCCATCGGTGAGCTCTCCGGCAGGCAAGGCTGCGTTGGCTGGGTCATGTAGCCCGCATGCCCAGCCACCGCATGCCTAAACAACTTTTGTTCAGCCGGATCGAGGGGGCTAAACGGGCACGGCACGGGCTAGAGAAGAGATGGAGTGATGTGGTACAGGAGGATGTGGAGCTGAGTGGACTTGCCGATGGCTGGTACCAGCGATGTCAAGATCGGCCTCTGTGGAGGAGGCTCGTCAAGGACGCTACTGGGCAGTTGGAGGCAGTCGCCCTCCAAAAACAACGGAGGGCAAAGGAGCGACGGTCACAACAAGCAGAGCGCCAAGTGGCTAAAGCACAGCAAATTGGCACAGTAGGGGGCATAGGTGTTGCATCAGCCAGTCATCTCGGTCATCTCAGTCAGTCGACCCGTGGCACCTGGGTCTGCCCCGTGACCTCCTGCCAGCGGGCGTTCGACACTTCACGTGGCCTCAAGGTGCGCATGGCCTGGCACAAGCGTCATGGTGACGTCACCGCCACTTAGTGGCGAATGGCGGTTGTTGTTGTTGTGTGTGCGTGTGTGTGTGTGCGTGTGTGTGTGTGCGTGTGTGTGTGCGCGTATGTGCGTGTGCGCGAGCGAACTGTGACGCGCGTAGGACGGTGAAATTCGGCACCAAAATCTCCTTGGGCAATGGACGGAAAGGCCATTTCCAGTAACTGGACTGACCTCAAACACCCACATCAACCGGAGGCTCTTAGCAGAGCCATTGGCTCAAGTTAGTCAGCCAACGTAATTTTCCTTCAAAACCCCGACGATTACATTGCAGACCTCGAGTCTGCAATGTGCGGTCAGGTGCTCAGACCAGATCTCTGCCCATATCTATAACAATAACTGTTAGTCATAGGGTAGTGGGAAATGTTATTATTCCCAGTAGCTTGCACCCATCTACACAAGAGCGAGCTGTATTTATAGAAATATGGGCATGCTGCATTCAATAGTTTTTAATGATTGGTAAGGGACATTTTTTTTTCTTTGTCGAGTTCGATTAAATGAATGGAAAGGTGTTGGTGATGATGTCCACACAGTGTGTGTTACGATTTTATCGGACACTGTTTAAAAATACTCATTATTTAAATGTTGAATGTTCCAGTTTGGCTACAAAAATAGAACACAAATATAATGTCGACCAATATGTCACAATAAAAATGACAGCCACACCAGGTTTTTTTTTTACAATGGTGACTTAAAGTTACAATGTTTTCTCCCAAACACTTTAAACACCTTGGAACACGCGATATATATTTATCTACTCAACTGCAACCAGTGCTCCTGTGTGGATATTTGGCTCGTGATTGGCCAATCGTTTTACAGCCCAATATGGGAACTTTCCGAATCGTCTCGTGTGCAAGAGTGAGATCAATTGCTACATCGCTAGACCCAGAGATAACAACGTCTTGGCGAAGCTTTCATCCAGCAGTGGATGAAGGCGTGTGCCGTGAAGACTACATATATCCAGCCGTGTGCCGTCACCCACTGATGATAATTATGATGATTATTAATGAATAATGAACGGACAAAGACCAAAAAAAACAAACCAACCGTTATAACCCATGTCTGGCCAAATGGGGGCCTTGAATTATAGATTACACACAAGTGATGACATTATTGTCTTCATCATCAGATGTAATGCTGGCGATTGAACATTTCGGCTGTGGTCTGTTGAAGATCGTCTCAAGGTGTGGGAAGCAGACCAGGACCTCGCCCCCAACTTTGAGTGAACAAATGTTGCTTTGCGATTTTTAATCTCGCTTGCGCGTACTTTATCCTGATTGCACGTTTTTTGTTTCTCAGTTTCAGAGATAATACGAAGAGATCTTAATGACCTCCCGGCATCTTAAGATGACAAGAAACAACAATGTCCGAGCCGTGCATTTTCTCCAACGCTGAAAGTTTGCCAGTGGGATTCCTGAAAATAGTGGGCGAATTCAAGGGTGCAAGTGCCATGATATAACCGGGTTATTAACAAAAACCCCATTATTTCCACGAAGACAACATCTATCAAACCTGCAGATTGAAATGCCATTCATATTATTATATTATAGGATAAACAAAACAAAAATCGATATACGATAGAAAGGTTAAATATCTCCAACTGAAGCCACCGAAAGCGACGAGCCGACTCTGCAGCCGCGTGACACGTGACGTTTCTGCGCACCACAGAGACGCAGCGGCGGTGGATACGAGAGTTTGTTTTTGTAAGGGTTAGCCCCCCTCCCTCCCTCCCCCATAAAACATATCCTATTCTTCTACTTATTTCATATGGCGTTAAACAAAGCATACAGCCACTATTGTATTTGTAATGTGTTAAGCCATTCTACGGAATGCTGGTTGGTATTTGCGTGGAGACGTCCCGCTTGCTCCGCCAGAGTACCACGTGGTTGTATTGGGGCCAGTCGTCAGTGGTTCAAGCGTGATGGTTCTCACCACACGTCATTCGCAGTTTGGTGTGGTCCTGATCTTCCATTTAGAGGAAATACTCAAACCTTTCATGTTTTGATTGGAGAAGGTTGAGAGTCGAGTGAGGTTCTTGCTTGGGACGCCACTAAACTGAACGATGTTTATTTTACCAGGTAAGGCCCACTGAGCTATAACAGCTCTTTTTCAGAAGCGTCCTGGTCACAAATGATAGCTCAAGGAAGTGGCTTATCGTGTGGAAGTTTATCGCAGCCAAATGCTCTAAACGCGTGATTCTAAATGTGAAAAATCCACGCGACCACAGGCAGAACACGCAAACTCCATAAATACAGGCGTCAGGGTTGGGATCAAACCCATGACCTCCTGCATACCAGGCGAGATAGTTAACATCTCACCACCCTGGCGCCCACCAATTTCCCATGTCTCGCGCCATTATTATGTCTTTTTGAGGACACTGTATAATGGAGCATGTGTCACCTGTTTCCGAATACTGTTTGCTACTCGACAACTCAGGTTCAATAAATGAAAGTTACATATTGTATTCATTTTAATTTCAACGTTTATTTTTTATACTTAAGTATATTTTTCTATAGAATGCTTAGAATCGACGTCAAAGCCTTTTGAATATAGACAATATAAATGCAGCAGTATAAATAATCGCTCTTCGTAATATTTGTTATAAGTATATATTTTATGACGTATGTCAATGTAATATCTTGTGTGTTTACAATATATATATTTTAACGAAGGCTTAATTTCAACTTCAACGCAAAGCCCCCCAGACCCACACCAGGGATGTGGGTAGGTAGGTGGGCAGAAAAAAATATTTTCCAGCATTCAGCCCTGGACGCAACTCCGGCTGAAATTAAGCTCCGATTTAACCCATGCGTCGGTTTTACACGTGCAAATTAAAATTTATAACAACTGTGCCTCACGTACGTTCTGATATCTTGAAACAAAATATAATAATTGCCTGAGAACCAAGTTTGTAAATCTTTGATACCATAGAATTGCCACTAGATGGCGAAAGTGTTACACTTACTGTGTTACCCTGCACTGCATGGAATTGAGTTCGAGTTAGCCCACTCAATAACCGTGCAGTATTTATAACGGAGATTAGTTCAGCACTGGATGTCACGTGTGCGCCGTGTGTGCGCCGTGTGTGCGTGTATAGCTGCTACAAAACATATTGGTCGTGACAACCGACATATAAAATTGTTACAATTTTTGTTTGTAAAATAATAATAATAAACCATAAAGACTTAATCAGTTACCATAACCGATTGTTAATATCCAGGGGACAATAAGCAGGGGGATTCAACCCCCAATCACCCTCGAGGGGTGACTGAGAGTGAGGCAGTGAAATATATTCCGGAGCTCAGGCCCCTGACAGCTCCGGCTGACGTCATGTGTGTGTGCTGCTTCCAAATGGCACACGTGTGTGTGTGTGTGTCGTAATTTAAGTAAAGACATTCGGTGATACAAGGAGGTGGGGGAGCCGAGGGAGGGCACAACCAGAAATCACGTAATTCACAACAAATGTAATCTCACCGTCTGTGAGTCAGTTGCAATGTTTGAGTAATTATCTGATCACAGCCGACGAGAGAAGGACTGATTCTTGTCGGATGGAAACCAGACGGGCTATGGTATCGTTGATGACCTTTGACCTAGTTTAAAAAAAACACATTTAGATGATCATGGTGAACATTGGAATTTTGATTTGGCATTAGGTTTTGATTTTATTAAAATAATGGGGAGGGGCGGGTGTGGCATGTAGATGGGATTTCTTGCAGATAATCTCCCCTGATGAGTTTTCTTATAACGCGAGGTCGAAACATGGGCCTGGAAATACACGAGCAGTCAAATGGAAGCTGGGGGGGGGGGGGGGGGGCGGGGGGGGTGGAGGAGCAAGCCACGTGCTGTGCCCAATCATTAATCACATCGTAGCTACCTGATAGCCATCATTAATATTCATCACTTATGTTAATAATAATAATAATAAAACTGCAATGCCCTTTACCCAGCAAAGCCTCAAAACATTTTCCGGACAATCTTGGATTGCAATGCTTCATCGTTTCCATCCGATAATGAGTGGCAGCATGGGGCTGAAAAAAGGAAAATCCCGGATAAAGCCCACATTCGCGAGCACACGCGTATATGTCGGTAACACTCAAAGCTCCGCACAGATAGACTCAGGAAATCATTGCTGTATTGCTACCATCTCCTGGCCACCTCCACTCGTCCCCCAGTATCAAGATTGTAGTTTTGGTTGAAAGAAGTCGTGAAAAGCCACGTCCGTGGCCCGTTGCGAGAGCCTGCGGTGGGCGATTGGAGAGCTGATTTGGTCTCAAATGACTCGCGGGGGAGATCTTGAAGATATTTGCGCGGGTAGTTTAACATCAAACG